AGAGGCTCACTATGAGTTCCAGGTCAGCCTCGGCTCCTAGAGAGCTCAAGGCCAGTGTAAACTATACAGAGAGACTCTGTCTCAAACAAACAAACAAACAAACAAACAAACAAACCCCAAAACTGAAATGCCACTGCAACTGTAGTCAATAAAATGGGCTAGAGCTATGTGTTAAACCTAAATAAGACAGATGCTTGGAAAACTAGAAAATCTAAATAGGGTCAAGAGTTTCAGTACAACATTGAGAATATTTAAAATGTACCTGAGAATCACACATTATGCCAAGAATCAGCAAAACTGTAGCCTGAATGAGGAAAGATGGCTGATCCAGCGCAGAGAATCAGGTGGCATGATTGGACAGATTTTGCCTCCAACTGCTGTTTAAGAAGCATTTATGAATATTCTTAAAACCAAAGGAAAAGTTATCAAATAGAAAGAAAATGGCTATCATAAAGTTAAAGACTGTAATGACTGAAAAAACAATAAATAATACAATGTACTTAATAGTGGGGTGAGCAGCAGAACAGAGGGGCGGAAAACGGAATCCACACACTTGAGAAGGCCAACAGAATCCTGAACGACAGAAAGTCAAGGAGACAGGCGTCCCAGCCTCGGCCGCGTCTGCGTCGCTGAAGTCCTGGAGACTGAGGAGCAAGGAGGAAAGAGGCAAAGAGCACCCCGAGCACAGCGCGGGGCGCTGAGTCCACGCCCGGTAGGCCAACTTAGATGAGCGCAAGCCGACCAAATCATGGTGAAGCCATGAAAGTTAAAGTGAAACGGAGCTGCAATAGAAACCGCAGGAAAAAACAGGCATCGCTGTCACAGCTTGGATCTGAACCGTCTGCCGAAGGCCCGGGTCTGCGCTGGGAGGTGACAGAGCCCTTAAGAGCTGGGGCCTGGGGAGGGGCGGGCCTTGCGCGGCAGGCTGGGACCCCCGGGGGTGAGCGCTGCCCCAACCCCCGCGGCTCCCGTCACGATGGTCATGGGCTGGCCAGTCAATGGAAGCTTCCAAAGTCGTGAGCCAAAGTAAAGCTTCCTCATCCTAGACGGATTACCTCAGACATCTGCTGCAGTATCGGAAAGCGGTAACAGTTACCTTCGGAAGAGTACAACTTAAGTTATCTCCCCGGGCCCGTCATAGCCTTTTTTTGTCTGAAACCATGGAGGCCCGAAGAAAGCTGTCTATTTTTTAAATTTTATATATATATATATATATATATATATATATATATATATAGTCAGTACAAATTCAATACCCATTATACAGATTTTAAACAGTGAAGGGCAAACCAAGATAATTTTGGATGAAGGAATTTGTTGCACGCAAACCTACTCTTAAGGAGTGGCTGAGAAATTCCCTCCTAGAGCTCACTTACAAAAGCACAAGGGAATAGACAAAACCGAGGCAGATGTCCTAGACTATCCTCACGAATTCCCTACACCAAATGTCTTAGTCCTTCTGGTGACAATCTAACAAAATACCTGCAAATAGGTGATTTATAAATAACAGAAATTCACCTCTCACAGCGTAACACGAATTCGAGGCCCCCTTCCCCTTCTGAGGAAGGCTGCAACTTCCAGAGGGAGGGATGCTTGGTCCTCACCCAGCTGAAGGCAGAAGGGCAGGCTGACTGCGTGGTGAATCCTCCTCCACACGGCTCATCACCTCCATGAGGGGAGGCGCCCTTGTGACCTAACACTGCCTCAACTCTTAAAATTATTACACTGGCGACACCAAAAGTAGAGAGGAGACACGTTCAAATCATAGCAACATTTTTGATGGTTGAAACAAAAATTACAGTATCTATTGCACTGCTTAATTTACGTACGTTAATCATTGAAAAATATATTTTTAAGATGAATTATAAAGGAATATAAATGGAAATAAGGTTTTAATACTTCACCAGAAATAATTTTGAAAATCTACTCTAGTAGGTAGGTACTAGTCATATGTCTAAAATAAACACTAAGAAAACGACAGGTAGGATATAGCTCGGCGGCATAGGTGCCTGCTTGGCAAGGACAAGATCATGAGTTCAATCCCCAGTACCACAAAAAGAAAAAAAAAAATGAAGAAAGAAAGAAAACTACAAAGCATCTATCTGAAAAGAGTATATTTTTAAAAAGAGTATCAACAAAATGATACTAGGTCCTACAAAGTGCTCTACCTAGGAAGGACAGACCTAGGGAAGCAAAGAATAAGAAAAAGAGGAAACAAAAAGAAAACAAGTAACAAAGGAACCAGCATAGGTCCTAACATTCCAATAGTTATTTTAAATGGCATAGTCTAAATACAACATTAGAAGAATGGTACAGGGGACCCAAAAATGATCCAGTGTTGTGATATATAGAAAAAATCTGCATTTCAAATACAGCAACATAGGTCAAGGTGGAAAAAGACATTTAACATTAATTTAAAAAAGCTAGAGTGGAGGGCCAGTGAAGTAGCTGAGCGTTGACTAAGCACCTGCTTAGGCAAGCACAGGGACCAGCATCCAACCTGCAGCACCACATGCCATGCTGCCCCACCCTGACACACTGAGCTGGCCACCAAAACCAGGCATGGTGATACACGTCTCTAATTCCATCACTGGGGAGGCTGAAAACAGGAGGATCACTATGAGTCTGAGCTGTGTAGTGAGACCCTGTACCAAACACACTAAAAAAAAAAAAAAAAAAAGCAAGAGTGGTAGCACTGCTACTGGGTAACATAAATGTCACAGCAAAAAAATTATTGGGACAAAGAATAAAATTTAATAATGACAAAAGAATCACTCCAACAAGACGTTAAATGTGTATGTACCAAATCACTGATTTTCTAATCTCATGAAATACAAATGGAGAGAATTTTTAAAATCAAATAAAAAGAGACAAATCCACATTTATACTTGAGTACAGAACCCCACTATCAGCAATTGATAGAACTACTAGATAGAAAATCAACAAAGATACACTGCTGAGGAGGACAATCGCCTACCTGTATCTGCCAAGCGCAGTTCACCCAACATCAGCAAAAGATACATTCTTTTCAAAAGTCTATGAAACCTTCTTCAAAACAGACCTTTCCCTGGGTAACAAGACAAACCCCAATATATATAGAACTGTCGATACCTTACAGAGTGCGTTCTCTGGCCATATTAAACTAATAGAAAATCAACAACAGAAAACCAATAAAAGTGCTCTAACTATTGGAAAGCAGATGACATTTTCATGACCAAAGATAAAGTCTTAAGGGAAGTTAAGAAGTAAACAGGATTGAATGAAAATTAAATAGCAATAGATGAAAATGTAAAGCCGTGCAGAGAAGGAAATGCACAGCACGGATGTTCACACGTACAAAGGGTGTGTCATGGCTTCCTGTCCGGACGTCCCCCAAAGCCTCATGCAGTCATAGGTGGCGCTTTATCAGAGGAGGCTGGAGCTGGAGTGTGTGACCCGGGACTGGTTGCTGGTGCAGTGCCAGGACCAAGGGCGCTAGGATTACGCATGCATGCTACCCGCCCTAAGCAGCCTGGATAACATGTGAGGGATAGAGGGAGTGTGGTCGTCCCTTACTGGTTTGCTGCTTTCTGCCCACTGTGAATTGCTTCTCTTCTGCCATTACAGCCTGCCTTGGAGCCAGCCAATCATGGACTGTAAGCTAAACTATGTACTAAGTAAACCCTTTCGCTTTTATCTTTGGGTGTTGGGCATTTTGTCTCAGCAACAACAAAAGTAACTAACATAAGTGAATTCTGAATCTATAATTTAAATTCTTAGGAAGGTAGGGAAAATGAAAACAAAATAAAGCCAAAATTAGCAAAGGAATAAACTGTAAAACTAAATAAAGTTAACAACACAACAATAATTGAAATATTCAGGTAAACAAAAAAAATATTGGTTCTTGAAAAACTTCAATTGATAAACCTCTAGGGAGTCCAACAAAGGAGAATGAAGACACAAAAGAAAATTATCCAGAAGTAAACAGGATTTCAAGATACATCTTGCCACTATTAGGCATAACAAGAGAATGGTATAAACACATTTTGCTCATAAAATTAAATAACATAGAACAATTGCACCTATTCCTCATAAAATATAAACTACCAAAATCAGCCAGCAATAAACAGATAAACTGAATAATCCTTTAACCATTATGGACATTTCTATCATAAAACATCCAGAAAGATCTTTAGGCCTGGACATTTTTACTAGAGAACTTCATCACATATATAAGGAAGAATTAGTACCAATTTCAAAGTCTTTCAGGGGAGGGGTAACAGATTATGGGTGAGAGGCAGAGGAAACACTTTCCAACTCATTTTCTGACACTGAGATTGCCTTGATACAAAGGTATGTGTGAACTAAGCTACTGCACTGCAGATGGTAATTTGTAATAGTGGTTTCATGTTGGGAGTGCCTGTCATTGTGGTATTCTGAATATGGGCGGCTTGTCATAACATGCCAGTTACTGCTAAGATGTCTCTTGGGTAGGTGGATGTTCAAGAAGAAGGGGGTGGTGAATGAAAGCAAGAGACAGGAAAAGGAATATTGTGGGACTGTCCTGCTTCAAGGTTGTATATGGTGAGATTTTTGGACTTATGTGCAAACATGAGAAGCATAGAATTCTTTATCCTATTTTTAAAATATAATCTAATTTTTAAATGTTTTTTTATCATATTATGTAGGGACTTAAAGTTCAACATATCAATACTTGATGAAAAATACCTGTTCCTTATTATGCCTAAGATGTTTGAAATGCAGTGAGATAGTGAGGTTAAGCTTGATGGCCTAAATGGTTTGATAATAACAATAAGCTTTTCTTCTGGATGGTTAACAACCTAAGTTTGCAGACCAAAATTAGAGAAAAAGGAGGGCTACAAGGAAAGCCAACATTTTGGCCCTAGCCTTCTAAGGTCAATTAAGACTCAGGACATATGAGAACTTGTACTGTAACATCATGTACCTCGGTAGTGTCCCAAATTTTCTGATCAAGAAGATTATGGGGAGAGCAGCCCAAGATGGCGGACTTTGAGGATCGAGTGTCGGATGAGGAGAAGGGACGCATAGCTGCTAAATTCATCACTCATGCACCCCCAGGGGAGTTTAATGAAGTATTCAATGATGTCCGGCTACTACTTAACAATGACAATCTTCTCAGGGAAGGGGCAGCTCATGCATTTGCCCAGTATAACATGGATCAGTTCACACTTGTGAAGATAGAAGGCTATGAAGATCAGGTCTTAATTACAGAACATGGTGATCTGGGTAATAGCAGATTTTTAGATCCAAGAAACAAAATTTCCTTTAAGTTTGATCACTTACGGAAAAGCAAGTGACCCCCATCCGGAGGAAATAGATGGAAGTTTGAAGTCTTGGAGAGAATCCTGTGACAGTGCTTTAAGAGCCTATGTGAAAGATCATTATTCCAACGGCTTCTGTACTGTATATGCTAAAATTATAGATGGACAACAGACTATTATTGCATGTATCGAAAGCCACCAGTTCCAGCCTAAAAATTTTTGGAATGGTCGCTGGAGGTCAGAGTGGAAATTCACCATCACACCACCTGCAGCCCAGGTAGTTGGAGCGCTCAAAATTCAGGTCCACTATTACGAAGATGGCAGTGTTCAACTGGTTAGTCATAAAGATGTGCAAGATTCACTAAGTGTGTTGAATGAAGCCCAGACTGCCAAGGAGTTTATTAAAATCATAGAGAGTGCAGAAAATGAGTATCAGACAGTGATTAGTGAAAACTATCAGACAATGTCAGACACCACATTCAAGGCCTTGCGCTGGCAGCTTCCTGTTACCCGCACCAAAATCAACTGGAACAAGATACTGAGCTATAAGATTGGCAAAGAAATGCAGAATGCTTAAAGGCCGACTGTGGGATTCTTCAGTAGATGGAAAGAAAATGATTCAACATGTGTTCGTATGATACATAAGTGATTTATAAAGAAAAGTGCTATTTTGCTAGGGCTTTCAAACTTAACAGATTTTCTAGCCTCATGGAATACTGCTCAACCTATAGCATTGTCTTGACCTTGCATTCTCTGCCTTGTAATTTTCTGTCATGGCTATATCTACTTGTAATTTTTTTTTCCTGTTTTCTGTTGGAGAGATCTATCTTAGAATCATTTTACTGTGTAGAAAATTTTCCTAGCCATGAAGTCCTGCTACTATTTACGTAACATGTTCAGTACTTTTTTACTGCTGTGCTTCAGAGCACTTGTGTTCCTTCAGTGGCTTCTATTCATCCAGCAGATAGAGGGGCTGTGCTGTAAACGGTAGCTAAATGGAAGATGCATTCATCCTTTTCCATTTGGCTGCTCTGATCACCATTTACACCATCTCATAACCGTTAAAGCTTTGCATTAGGGTCTTTCAGGTTCATTTGGGTGGGAGCAAAAGAAATATTCTGAGAATTCCATGACAGCCAGCTTTTCTAGGTGAACTTGTTTCTAAATCCAAAGACTTGAACCATTTCCTGCACAAGAACATGTTTGCTTTTTTGGGGGGAGGGGATTCTCTCATTGTCTCCTTCCCTATTGTAGGTATTGACACCTGCATTTTTAGAAGAATTTTACCCATTTACACTTTTGTTTGTGTATGTGTTTAAGAACTGCTGACATTCTGTGGATGTAGTGAAACTTGAAAATGCAGTGCTGAAGGAATCATGGGTATCATCCTTTAGTGCTTTGTGGCGGGATTGTGCTATAAGCAAGTGAATCAAACAGCTCTATAAATCACAAAAACTAAAACCAAAGTGAAAAGAGTAACTTCCAGGCAGTATCTCTCTATTGTAACCTGTTATTTAAGAGCATACTAGTGTTTTCTAAGTAGGATGTAAATCTTGTTCCAAATTACTCTTTTGTAGTCCTGCCTGCCAAGCACTCAAAAGTAACTGTGATATAGCATCCCTTCCCAGGTATATTGGCAGGTGAACGTGTGATCCCAGAAACACACAAGTGACAGAGATACGATAGGATAGCCGATAACGGTGGATTCATTTACATTGTTTACACTTCTATGACCAGGCCTTAAAGGGAGGTCAGTTTTTTAAAAAAGTGTCTTCCTATTTCCAGATACATGTTTTTAAAAAAAGGTGTTTATGCTTCAGCTTTGTTTTTTGCTCAGCAATGCAGTCATGCAAGAGTTTGTTTCTAAGTGAAAGCTGTGTTAGCCTTTTTTGGTTTTTTTCAAATAAAATATATTTGTATTATTTGTCATTCATACTATCCATCCATCATACCATACTATCCTCTGTATCAGGTAGTCCAATAGAAATATATCTGTTTTGTTCTAAAATTGTCTGAGTCTCCCCTTTTTGGTCCATCTGGTCCACCTTTGTTCTCAAGATGTTCAGCTGTTCGTTGAGAATGTTCAGGCTTTCTAGAACTGGCTCCTACTTTCAACTGTTATACTCAGTAAATATATAAAGATGTGAAAAAAAAAAAAAGAAGATTATGGGGCCAAAGAGGAAAGTGATCGATAACGTAGAGTGGGCCTAAGGAGAGTCACATGGGGAGAAGACACTCTCTCAGGCTTTCACAGAGAGCACATTGGCCAAGCAATGGCCGTGACTCATCCACATGGCTGCACTGATAAAGGTTCTACAATCTGAGGTACAGGATCTCAGGACAAATCCTGAGGGCATTTCACTGACCTTCTCAGACCAAAAAGCTACAACTCTTGTTGCATAGGTCCTGCTTTACCTTGGTCTTAACCATCCAGTAGAAAAGTATGAAGAGGAAATATAGGAAGTAAAGCCATGTTGCTATGTTTAGCTGTGGGGGATTCAGGTCAATAATTTCTGACATTGCCAGTTAAACAGAAGACCCAATGCTATTATGGGCTACTGGACTCTTCTAGAATATTTTGCTGAGTTTACACACCTATAATATTCAATAACAGAACTTAGAAAAAATGGGGTATACCTATGAATGTCCATTTTGCATCTGTGTATTCAAAGTGGTTGGGATAGATATATAGTTGCATTCTCTTAATGAATAGAATGATTTGTTCTAATGGTGTTTGTAAATAGGACCACAAGTCCACATCTTGTACAGCAATTAACCACTAAGAAGAATATATGCAGTGTATTATTTGTTGAAACTGTACTTCCGATTTGATTTGAAACTGTCTCATTGCTATCTGTTTATCAATAAAACTTTGGAAAAAAAAAGAAGAAGGTATGAAGCAAGCTAACGCATTTCATGAAGTTAGGCAGAAATCCTCAGCAAAACCTTAATAAGCAGAGTTTAACGTATGTAAAAGGTACACCTCTTAATTATGTAAGGTTGGTTTAGCATTTGAAAAATTAACAAATATAATCCAATGTATCAATAGACTATGATTTACTTTTTTATTTTTATTTTTATTTTTTAGTACTGGGGATTGAACTCAGGACCTTGCTTGCCAGGCAGGCACATACGCTGCCGAGCTATCTCCACAGCACCTAGACTATGGTTTACAACGTTGTATGATCATAACAACTGACAGAGAAAAAGCATCTGACAAAATCCAATATTTATTTATGATTGAAAACTCACAGCAAAATAGGAATAGCAAGGAACTACCTTAACTTGACAAAGATCTAAAAAACAGTACAAATGCTTAATGATAAGTTAGCTCCACCCTTAGCATACTATTAGAAGTCTTACTTAATGCCAAGAAGAACAAAAGAAAGAAAAGACATACAGTTTGGAAGGAAAGAGATCAAATTATTCTTTCATGACATGATTATTTCTTCAAAAAAATCCCAGAAAACACTCCCAGAACTAATAAGCAAACTCCACAACAGTAACATAAAAATTAAGCTGTCAACATCAATCATGTTTCTTCACATTACAATGAACTAGTGGAAACAAAGATTAAAAATACAGGCCGGGGAGATGGCTCAGTGGAATAAGCACTTCCCTGGCAAGTGCAAGGGTCTGAGTTCAATCCCTGGTTCCACAAAAAAAAAAAAAAAAAGATTAAAAATACAGCACCATTTGTCATTACACTAAAGAAAATGAACTGCTTAAGGGTAAATTTAAAACATTTATAACATCTGTATACCGAAAATTACAAAATGCTTGTGGAAAAATCAAAGACAAGAAAATGGAAGCTATACAGTGTTCACACAGATTGGAAATATCAATGTAGTAAAGGTGTCGTTTGTCTCCAAATTTTATTAGTTTTGTTTGTTTTGTTTACTAGGAATCAAACTCAGGACCTTGCACTTGCCAGGTGAGTGCTTGTGCTACTGAGTTATATCCCCAGCTCTCTCTGCAAGTTTATTTATTAGTTTTTGGTGTTTTTTGGAACCAGGGATTGAACTCAGGCCCTTGCGCTTACCAGGCAAGTGCTTATTCTACTGAGCTATCTCCCCAGCCCTTTATTTATAGTTTTAATGTAATTTCTATCCTAGAAAAACAATTTTAGGCACAGAGATACAGATTCCTAAATTTATGTGGAGTGAACAGCACTTAGAAGAGCATAAAGGTCTTGAAAATCAAAGGTGAAGAATTATTCTATTTGTATTAAGGCTTACCAAATTCTTTATGATATTTGTAGAGGAGCAGACACATAGATCAGTGGGATAGAGGAGTTGAACTAGAAACAGACCCACACAAACATGACTTTTTTTTTTAACAAAGATCCAAACATGAAGATGAATAGCTCTTCAACAAATGATCCCACCCTGGCAAGCACAGAGTCCTGAGTTCAATCCCCAGTACCACAAAAAATGAGCAAACAACAGCAACAACAACAACAAAAGAAAAACAACAAATGATCCTGGAGGGATTAAGGACCAAAAGAGGCAAAATAGATCAAGATGAAGCTCAACTTAATCTCCTACTCTATATTAAATGGACCGTAGGCTTAAGTACAAAGTATAAAACCAGAGTGCAAGATCTGCCGCTGCTGAGGACAGAAGCGTCCACGGCGGCACCATGGTAGCTCAACCGAAGAACCTTGAAGGCTATGTGGGATTTGCCAATCTCCCAAATCAAGTATATAGAAAATCAGTGAAGAGAGGGTTTGAATTCACACTTATGGTAGTAGGTGAATCTGGATTGGGAAAGTCAACATTAATCAACTCATTATTCCTCACAGATTTGTATTCTCCAGAGTATCCAGATCCTTCCCATAGAATAAAAAAAGACTGTACAGGTGGAACAATCCAAAGTTTTAGTCAAAGAAGGTGGTGTTCAGTTGCTGCTCACAATAGTTGATACCCCAGGATTTGGAGATGCAGTCGATAATAGTAATTGCTGGCAGCCTGTGATTGACTACATTGATGGTAAATTTGAAGATTACCTAAACACAGAATCGCGAGTGAACAGAAGTCAGATGCCTGATAACAGGGTGCAGTGTTGTTTATACTTCATTGCTCCTTCAGGACATGGACTTAAACCATTGACTATTGAGTTTATGAAGCGCTTGCACGAGAAAGTGAATATCATCCCACGATTGCCAAAGCCGACACACTCATGCCCGAGGAATGCCAACAGTTTAAAAAACAGATAATGCAAGAAATTCAAGAATATAAAATTAAAATATATGAATTTCCAGAAACAGATGATGAAGTAGAAAATAAGCTGGTTAAAAAGATAAAAGACCGCTTACCTCTTGCTGTGGCGGGCAGCAATACTATCATTGAAGTTAATGGCAAAAAGGTCAGAGGAAGGCAGTACCCTTGGGGTATGGCTGAAGTTGAAAAGGGTGAACATTGTGATTTCACCATTCTAAGAAATATGTTGATAAGGACGCACATGCAGGACTTGAAAGATGTCACCAATAATGTGCACTACGAGAACTACAGAAGCAGAAAACTGGCAGCTGTCACTTACCATGGAGTGGACAACAACAAGAACAAAGGGCAATTTACTAAGAGCCCTCTGGCACAGATGGAAGAAGAAAGAAGGGAACATGTAGC